TTTTTGGCCAAATAAACCCTATGCATGTGCATCAAATTCGTAGATTACGTGGATCTGTTGAACCGCAGTTGGCGTTGATTTTTGAGTTATTGTTCTCTATAAGCATAGAGGCTTAGCCTATTAATGTGATCTGTGTTGCCAAACGGCGCCGCTCATCGCGATCCGTCCATTTCACCATTACACACTGCATAGACCTATGTAGCCAGTGTGTTATTGTCGTATACTGGCATTCTATTTTTGTTTATTCTTTTCAAAATGATCAGTATTAAAATAGTTTCTAGTTGGACTATCGATGAATATGTACCTAGAGAAAAAGCTTTTTTGTTCACTTCCTGTGAAGGTGCAAAAAATCACTGGAAGATTGAAATTTTCCAGTGCTCTTTTCTTTAGTTTTCATTTACCTGAACAATTGGATATCTCTTAGCGTTCACAGCAAAATGTTTTCTTTGTGTTTCTGTAATGATGTTAAACATCTTTTTGGTTTTTTACTTTCCATGCAATTCCAGGAAATTTGAAATCTTGTTTTTTGAAATAATGTCGTGCTTAGTTCATTCTAATGCAGATTTCCCGCTGACTGCTGAACTAATGCAGAAGTGTATGACAGTAAATCCATTCGAGGCAAAGTTCCGAGAGGCAAATAGGAAACTGACGACAGGTGCATTGGAAGCGAACGGTCTCGTGCCAGCTACAATGTCGCTTTCAAACTCCAACGGTTAGTCCTTTTTCAACAGGACAAAATTTCTAATTTCCTTAACGCCTGCTTCTGATTTTAGATAGTAATAGTGAAACTTCAGCCTTTTCATTGCTGAAGTTACCATCATCGTTGTCAGATTCGCCTGGTATATTCTCGAACATCAGTATTTTGCAAACAGATGCTGATGGTGTTGTGAATGAGAATTTGAAAACTGCCGACATCTCGAAGCTGCTTGCTCAGGTTCAAATAACACTTTTGTTGTTTGCAGTCTATTAGAAAGACTTGTTTTTAGATGAAAGACAGTAGTTCTTCCCTTTCTGATGGATCGAACACACAACAAGCGCCAAGAACTGCCGATGTGTTGAATGCAGTCCTCGATATGCATTCGGATCGTTTGCATACTATCAATTACATAAACAAGTAAGTTAGAGTTCGATCTGTAGCTATTTTCTACATAGCAACCTCTTATTCAAAACCGTTCACTATATAATGGAATTCTCTTTTGTTACTGGAAGAGTTCTAATTATAAAAAATAGGCAGAGAATTTCCCCAACTCAAATTTTATTCGCAAAATACATTCCTGCGTGAAAGAGCTGACAATATCTAGCTTACAAGAAAGTAAGTGAATGAAACTA